TGACCGAAATTCCATTTTTTTGGTTAAACAATAGTATTCAGGGCAAACCTTAACCATTCTTTGCTTGGACTCATTGCAACTATCTAGTCTATTTCGTTGACTACGCAATGGTAAAATTTCCAAGACAAAAAAAATAATAGCTGAAAGTTGAAGTTGAAGGTGACCATAATCTTATCTTCATCTACCTTTTTCATTCCTAAAAATTTTGGAGTAAAAACGAAAGAATGTCCCCAATATTCAAGATAATAGAATAGGGACAAAACTATACTTACTCTCAAACGTCATCTAATTTGAATATTTTTTGCTTGGACTCATTGTCTAGTCTATCTTCTAGAATAAGCAATGGTTACTTTCCTGACTAAGTCCAACTCTCCTTCTACCATTTGCTTTCCTGCAAAATCTTGGAGAAAGAAAATTCATTACACTAAAACTAAATGAAAGAGAACAGATAGATTGAAACAATAATGTGAAAAAAAAAACCTTAATATTACAATATTGAACACGGTATATATGGATTTTCTACCTTCTTTGTCAATTTTAGTACTAAATATTAATGATGAGAAATAAACTTTTCTATTTATTTATTTGTAGTGGCACATGTCTACCTCATCTCCATTACCACGACATTCTTGAACTCGAATGATTTTATGGTGTGCCTCGCACAACTGACATTAGTTGTGTGAGGCCTCTTTTTGTCTCACACATTTGTGGACCCATATCTTATATATTTGGGTCCACAAAATTCTAAGACAACAAAATTGTGAGACAAAAAGGAGGTCTCGCACAACTAATGTCAATTGTGTGAGGCACAAAATAAAATTTTCCATTCAACTCATTAATGCAGGACAAGAAAAAGTTAAGTGTGACTGATTTGTGATGGATTATTAGGTTTCACAATTTCAAACGTCACAAATTCATGTGACGAGCAACAAAATTATTGACTAATTTGTGAAGAAAGGCCCATCACAAATAAAGATAAAATATATTTTTTAATCCGTCACAAATGTTTTACGTATTAAAGATTGAATTTGTCAAAAACTATAATAGACTAGGGACGGATCATAGTATCTCAAATTTTACGACAGATACAATCCATCACATTAATCCTTCAAAAGATTGATTTTCTTTGTTTATCTAAAAATTCAATAAACATATACTAATAATTAATTATATTTCAATAATTTACTGAATTAATAAATAATCTATTATTAACTATTTATACATAAATAATAATTAACTAAGTAAACTTATTTAAAGCATGCACTCTCATCCCTTTATTCTAACTACGTCAGCGTACATGTTTCATCCATCAAGCATTTTATTTCTTTTAGTTAAAATTTGTGATGTAGTTAATTTTATATATAGCTCTCAAAGCAGGAATAAAATGAAGTATGGAAAAATGTCTGCTTGACCAAGTCTTAGCCAACTTCTATTTAGAAAAATTATGCGGTTGTCCTCCAATGAAACTGGTTTTTAGCTGAATCTATGTAAATAAAGTTTTAATAAATAGACTCCCCATCTTTCCTTGTGTGCGAAATGATATATTTGCCCCTTTAGCTCCTTCTTTTCCATCTCTTCTTCTTCGCCGCTAAGCACACCATAATTCTTTTAATTTTGGAGCGAAAAATTTGAAGTTAATGGTTAATTACTGTTAAAATAATTGATTATTTATACTTAAACTTTTAGTTTAAATACTAATTTAGTGATTTGCTTTAAAAATCTAAAAATTCCATTGTTGGTCCTTTGAAAGTATTTAAGAAGACAAAGTGAGTCTTCTTGATTTGGTGTTATTTGACTAATTTTGTGAGTGGTGATCGTTTATGCTAGTATTTGAAGGCTTTGTTTTAAATTTGAGATCATTTCGAGTATATTAGGGAATGCCTACTGGGTAGACTTTGAAGAATAATTTAACACATAAGCCGACTGCAGATAATACAAAGTTACGCCAATCTGGTAGAGTTTAGTGAACAAATAATCACAAAAACATGCCAACTGGATAGAGCTTGTGAACAATTAACAATATAGGTAAAGTAAATACAACATAAACTCAGCTGATCTGGTAGAGAGAATTGCTAAAGAGCAACGCGGGTCTGGAGATTATGTTTTAAATACATTCAAAAAGGGAGACAATATTTAAAGACCAACCCCTTGGGCTATTCCTGTCAATCACACCTGTTATTTGCACATTTCTGAAAAGATATTCTGGTACATCCTTTCATATTAGAGAAACAACATGGGGAGACTGAACAATAAGTCATAGGGAAAGCCACACTTTCTTTTACAACTCCCATTACTCTAATTTGCAAAAACCATGTTCATTACACATAAAGGCATAAAAGACAAAAATAGAAAGTTACATAAAGATATTACATAATGTGAAGTTACAGTTTGTGGTACTCACATGTCAACCTATAATTACATCTACTTTTGCAGAATCAGAACAATTCTCAACCAAAATCATAGACTCAGTTGAACCTAGTGAAGAACTCAGATTGAATTCC